CCCTGCTTTAGAGCGACATAGAGGGATATCTTTGAATTTACGAGTAAACCTGAATGCATCAAGGACATTAAATTTGTGTCGTAAAGCACCGTGTAGAAGCGCAACTGGGGAGATACGCGTCTGCAAAAAGGGGAACAAGGTGGTTTGCGACACTTGCTTGTAGTACAGTTTGTTCCCACATTGGAGCCCTTCTCCCCCCGCGGTCCTCCCTGTCCGACCGCTCAGTGCTAACAGCGGTTACAGCTGACCAGCTGCTATCAGATACTGTTAGCCTGGCAGCTAGCCGCCGGCTCCGTTAGCTCAGCTGCTGCAGTAAAACGGCCACAACTGAAACCGAGCTCCATTAAAGCTCGTCATAAATAAAACGGGGAAACTCCAGCTCCAACAGTTGTTTATTTCTTGTTTATTCCATTTCCCATGCGGACTTTGTGTCGGCTTGCTCCAGCAGCAGTGAGCTTGAATCGGTCTATCGGCCGCTGGAGGCTGCAGAGATGTCGCTGTGCAGGGCTGCTACCCGCCTCCTCGGAAGACGGAAAGGCTTCCTCCCAGAACAGTTAAAGAGGATCGCCTTCGACATGTCCTCCTTCTCCTCCTCGGCTGCCGGTAAGAGGCTGCGGGTCCTGGTTGACATGGATGGGGTGCTGGCGGACTTTGAGGGGGGGTTCCTGAGAAAGTACCGGGCGAGATACCCGGACGATCCCTTCGTCCCGCTGGATGACAGGAGAGGCTTCTGGGTGTCATCGCAGTACGGCCAGCTGAGGAGCGACCTCTGTGTGAGTGATCATCACACCGGGAGAGCCGGTCTGAACCGGTTTGATGAACTTTAGAACTATTATCCCTACTTTTTTATTTTAATCAAATCTAATTCACGTTGGCTTTAATTAATGATCCAGAGATTAGCAGGTTAAATTCGGTTTCTGTTCCTTATCTTGTTTTGTGATCTTTTTTTATAAGTATATAATCTATCCTCCCAAAGCAAGTTTCCATTAAATAAGGAACATTATGGCTGATTTGAGTGTGTACATCTGTGTTTTTTCACATGAATGTTTTGTTTTCCTCTTATTTGTGTTGCACCGATGCAATTTTTTGAATCCAATACCGATACCTGGCTGTACAGTATGACCGATACCATCTGTTTGAAATTGATGTGTGTGTATATATTGTCAAACTGCTGCCAACCTTTGTGAAGCAGGAAAAGTACTTAAAATGAATCCAGTAGAACTTTTTATTGCCTATCCAAGTAGTATGCAGTTCTTCATATATACACACACACACACATTCATTTCAGACAGATGCTATGGGCTGATACTGCACAGCCAGGTATTGGTATCGGGGCCAAAAAAATGGCATAGGTGCAACACAAATTTTCATACAAACAGCAGGAGACGCAGCAGAACACATAACTCAATAGGATTATTTCATTGACCGTAAAGAATAGGCAGAGAAAAAAAGCTCTTAATATAAGCCAGTAAATATTTAGGATTATAATTATATCACAGCAAAGAATAAATAAATAACAGTAAAATCACCCAGAAGTGGCCAAGAATTTAATTTACAAAGTGCTTAAAAGACATTGGTACCATTATTGAATTAAAAACATATATCGCCTCATTTTAGAGTGATATAGATTAATTTGAATTTACGAGTAAACCTGAATGCATCAAGGATATGAAATCTGTGTCGTAAAACACAGTGTAGAAGAGCAACTGGG